ATCTGTGAAGTCATATTCTTCAAAAGCAGAGGTCCAGTATCTTGGGGGGGTTTTCATCAGGTCAATATTAAAATCACCTGTTAAAATAATTTCAGCATGTAAGCAGGATGCAAAATTTATCTCCCTTGTTAGACTTTCTACCCAGCAGGTGGGGCAGATGGGGGCCTATATGGGTCAATAAAAAATTGGTTTTGAATTTGGGATGTTAATTTCAAGCCATATTGTTTCTATGCCCCCTATTTCAAAATCATCTCAGTTTGAAATGCAAATTATTTGACATATATACAATTATTCCTCCTCCTGATTTCCCTAATCTATCTCTTCTCTCAAAAGTATATCCATGATATCTAATTCACAATTGTCTGTCTGTTCATTTAAAAAAGTTTCACAGACACCAAATACATCAATAGAATGATAGCCTGATAAAAAAAGCTTAAGTTGGTCAATTTTAGGCGAGATGTGACATATATTTAATTTCCCCAAAAATCGAAGACCTTTTTTATGAGCCAAAATTAAATGAATATGAATTTGAATTTTTCTTCTGGGGTTTCTCATTGATTTCAGGATTTAGTAAATTAAATTTTCTTTATGAACTGGTAGTTTGGGATGTACATTTATGAATTTTCCTAAGAGATACATTTTTTTAAGAACTATTTACATCATTTTCATTATTAGAACGTGTATAGGATTTAAAATCTTTATCTTGACCGGATCTGAGTAATATATTAGTATTGTGTGAATTACAGAGATATTTGCATTTGCATGATATTTCATCACATTCATCACAAATATTATCCAAAACACTAAAGGGGTTTGATTTCAAGAGGAATGGTTTTTCGGCAATTTCCTCTTTGCCGAATTCCTAATAGGAACAGTGTTTTGCCTTATGTCCGGAAGAGTTGCAGTTCCAGCAAAAATTTTTACATCCATGCCTAAAATTCCGTGAGGAATGACCATTTTCACCACAATAATAACACATATTCACATTTCCAGTTGTTTTTGTGTATCATTCTGATGGCGGGCTTTGATGACTGGAAGTGCGCATTATAGGATTTCAGTAGTGTAGATGTTCCCTTGTCGGATAAATGAACCCCATCCTTCCAAAACATACCTGATGACTTGAACTTATCTTGTAGAGAAATCATGTTGACACGTATTCCTCACAGACAAATCTTATTATTTCATTCATGTGGGTAACATCAGCATCTCGTCGTGGTGGTATTTCCGATATGAATATTTCGGGATTTGGGGGTTTGGTATTTGGGGACGACCCTGTCGTTGGCAGCATCATTACCCCCCGGGAAGTAGGATTATTGACCAAAGGGCGAAAGGGCGTTTCCTGGAGAATTCTCCTGATGTCTGACAGCCGAGCCCCTCTGTTTGTTCGGACAGCAACACGCCTCAATAATCCACGGGTTCTTATTCCTGGAGGATAGAATCACCAATTATCAATACTGACTTTCAAGATGGAACGTCTGACTCCAGTTGTTGGTTCTTGCTGGGTTTATTGTAATTTTTTTGGCTTTTCTGATCAGTTTCTGGGGATGTTGAAGAATTGTTTCTCCACTCTAGAACACTGTGTGTGTCTGGTTACACCTTGTAATTTGGAATCCTTTAGGTCCCTTGTGTCAATCGCTTTAGCTTTTGTACCGGGTTCCCCTTTTTTGTGTAGTTGCGTTCCAGAATTTGTATTTTTAACTTGTAGAGATTGCAGCTCCAGCTTAAGTCTAAAACTTTGGTGAGATCAGACACAGTCTTTGTTAGTTTTTGAATAACTCAAAAATACTGCAGTTAAGACATGGCCGAGCTTCCGTTTCTTGCGATTTGCAATGTTTAGGCGTAGACAAATTTTTTGGTTCTGGCATTTCTATTCCTTCGATTTTACTGACTTCAGTTATTGGTAGATGATTTATTTGATTAAGGAAATCTCTAAGCCAGCTGAGTCTTTCACTCCCTTGAATGTGGATTGTTTGGGGAGATTTACAGCGTAGCTGTAACATTACCATTACATGATTGTAGATGTTTCCATTTTTAAAACCAGTTTTGGAAACAGTAGATCATTGTTAAGAATGGTCACAATGTGTCGAATTTATCTTCCTCATAGTTCAGGTTACATTGTTTGTTGAATCTTACTTGTAAGAAATCTGGCACATGGACATCAAGTAATGGATCATCATCAGGTAAAGAATTTGAATTTCCTTGTGAAAATGAAAGTCCAAAGGTATCCAGAATAGATTTAAATAAACCTGTATTTTCGTTCAAATTGATTGACTCCATTATTAATCACATTCAGAAGTACAGGTAATTACTGATAAGGAGGAGCATTCTAAAACACGTCTGGTCACCTAGTTTATCTTAATGACAATGTTGTTACCTGCTTGTCAGCAGGGACCAGTACGTACTGATCATGTAATCTATCTTAATTAAATTCTTTTCTGACTTCTGGATTTTTTAATACATAGTAGGATAGATGGTTTGCATATTGCCCCTCATTCGTTTAATGTGCGAATTTACATCTGAAATTTTGTCAATTCTAAAAAAAAGTCAAGGTCTTTTTCATGTGTGGCCCATGGCCTGGGGTAATCTTCTCAAATATAATATTTATGAAATTACGACGCCAGTTGAAGGATCAGGGTTCCCTGTATTCAGGACCTTGTAAAATTAGTGATCCAAGGTCCTCATTATTAACCATACTTACATCAGTAATAACGTATTCAGCAGGACTTAAGTTATAGAATGAAGAACAACATGAACATGATGGAGGATTATATTTCTGATACTAGTATTCGATATCCAGGCCCTGCAAACTTTTCTTGTAATTAAAAGTTTGGAACAGGGAAGGGAAGTCTAATCTTTTTTTTTGAAGAAATTCGAAATTTCAAGTGAGTGACTTTATAAGGATATGGAGATAACGAACAGATTCAATCTCAAAGTCCATTAAACAATACAAAAAAGGAGCATAGCATACACGGACCTCAGAGGTGGGTCAGGTGCCATGGAGGAGTGAGCACCCCCTGCCGACCGGTCACACCCGCCGTGTGCTCCTTGTCATGAACAGGAAATATGGGAAAAAAATCTGTCAATTCAGTGTATAAATAATGGACTAACAATTGGTTTGAAAATGTCAGTCAGCATTTGACTCAATGATAAATTGTATTTGCTGACAATGTCATTGTATCGACCATAAAACTTACGAAATGATGACTTTAAACGAGACTGCTGATATTCTTGTTTCGTCAACTTGCTCGTCAATATTTTACCTCGTTTTTGAAATTGTTCATACGCAGAACATGCTCTTGCGTATCGAATAAACTGAAATATATACACTCCGTATGCAGGTGATGAAGGTATATTGCTGATAAGAAAGGAAATTAGATAGAAAAGTGAAATCATACGTTTATCATATAGCTTGGTTGTTAGATAACAATTAGTGTCTTTCAAGTAAAATATCCAAATATGAAAAAGAAGTGTCGGACTCGTGGGATCTTTTATTTAACCACCAGGATATATGTATCGACGTAGGAATGGAAATTACCATTATTAATTTACAATACGTCGTCAATATATCTAAATGTCGAGTTGAAGGCCACAGCAAGTGTTTTCTTATTTTCACGCATAAGATTTAATGGAAAAAATGGCTCAACTAGGATATATGGTAAAGTGGGAAAAAAATTTTCATACGCCAAATTTGAATTAATGCGCCTTGTTTTTTAAACGGATTTCATCAAATTCGACTTAATGCGCGTTGTTTGATAATAAAAAGGAAATTAGAAGAATTTTTCCAGCAGAAGACGGGCTGACAGGTCGACAAGTTGAGAGGTAACAGGTCAACGGGTTGACGGGTCGAATGGTTGACAGGTAGACAGGTCGACGGGTTGACAAGTCAACAGGTAGACTGGTTAACGGGTAGACGGTCGACGGGGAGACAGGTTGACAGGTCGACTGGTTGACATGTTGACAGGTTGACATTTAGACAGATTGGCGGGTGCTGGTCGAGGGGAAACAGGTAGTGGGTTGCCAGGTCGACGGGTTGACAGGTTGACAGGTCGACTGGTTGACAGGTAACAGGTCGACGGGTTACAGGTCGACTGTTGACAGGTCGACGGGTTGACAGGTGGGATAGAGGAATAGTCCAAATTATCATGTTCGTTTACTAGCCCAACCTCAGGTGGGTTCGAGAAACCCCTAATCTCTCAGGTGGGTTCTGGAACTAACCCTAATTTCTCAGGTGGTTCTGGAACTAACCTTAATCTCTCAGGTGGTTGTGGAAAACCCCTAATTTCTCAGGTGGTTCTGGAACTAACCTTAATCTCTTAATTGGATTGAGAACTAACCTTAATCTCTCAAGTGGTTGAAACTAACCTTAATCTCTCAGGGGGTTGAGTATAAACCCTAATCTTTCATCTTGGTTTGAATACTAACCCTTATCTCTCAAGTGGATTTGAAAACTAACCCTAATATCTCAGATGGGTTTAAAAATTTAAAGAGTGTGAACTGTCGACCTGTCAACCTTTGTGATGACATTGCAGGCCAATAAGAGGTGTCAACTGTCGATCTGTCGACCTTTGTGGTGACACTGTTGATTAGTAAGAGGTGTCAACTGTGCCCTGTGACCATTTTGATGTCAATGTAAGTTTAATGTGGAATTGTCAAACATTTTTTGAAAAGGGGGATTTTATGGACTATTTTTAAAAAATTTATTTGAAAAATAAGGCAAAATATTTCCACTATCTATTATAAAAGGAACTATTTCTTACCAAATTTTAAATTTAAAAGATGTTAATGGTTTTATAACACTTATCCGTATACCCTAGTTAAGAAAAAATTGCAATCAAGACAGTTTGTAATTCAATATACAAAAAAAATCTATGTGTATTCAAGTCCAAAAGGGGGTTTTGGGGAAATAAAAAAGAGCTAGATTGAATTTCTTAATTAATTTCAGTTATATATTGAATATAATCAAAGGAATGTTAAATTATACAAAACAAATAAAAAGATAGTTAAGATATTATATAGGACAATATTACATAGAGAACTAACAAAATAAATCCAACACGACAGAATACAAGTACGGTGATCATTGGTTGTATTGAGAGTAATTGTTCTACTTCAGGGGGATCATACTGTGTGAACATGTTGGAACTGCTGATAAATTGCTCTACTTCAGTGGGATCATACTGTGTGAACATGTCGGTCTCACACTGTGTGAACATGTCGGAAGTTCTGATACGTTGTTCTACTTCAGGTGGTTCACACTGTGTAAACATGTCGGCAGTTCTGATAAGTTGTTCTACTTCAGGTGGTTCACATTGTGTGAACTTGTCGGAATTGCTGATGAGTTGTTCTACTTCAGGGGGATCAAACTGTGTGAACATGTCGGCAGTTCTGATAGGTAGTTCTACTTCAGGTGGTTCACATTGTGTGAACTTGTCGGAATTGCTGATGAGTTGTTCTACTTCAGGGGGATCAAACTGTGTGAACATGTCAGAAGTTCTGATACGTTGTTCTACTTCATGAGGATCACACTGTGTGAACATGTCGGTCTCCACACTGTGTGAACATGTCGGAAGTTCTGATACGTTGTTCTACTTCAGGTGGTTCACACTGTGTAAACATGTCGGAATTGCTAATGAGTTCTACTTCAGGGGGATCGCACCGTGTGAACAAGTCGGCAGTTCTGATAAGTTGTTCTACTTCAGGTGGTTCACATTGTGTGAACTTGTCGGAATTGCTGATGAGTTGTTCTACTTCAGGGGGATCAAACTGTGTGAACATGTCGGAAGTTCTGATACGTTGTTCTACTTCATAAGGATCACACTGTGTGAACATGTCGGTCTCACACTGTTTGAACATTTCAGAATTGCAGATACGTCGTTCTACTTTATGGGGCTCACACTGTGTGAACATTTCGGTCACACACTGTGTTGACATGTCGGAAGTTCTGATACGTTGTTCTACTTCAGGAGTATCACACTTTGTGAACATGTCGGAACTGAGAATACGTTGTTCTACTTCAGGTGGTTCACACTGTGTGAACATGTCGAAAGTTCTGATACGTCTTCTTCTTCTTCAGGGGGATCACACTGTGTGAACATGTCGAAAGTTCTGATACGTTGTTCTACTTCAGATGGATCACACTGTGTGAACATGTCGGATTTGCTGATACATTGTTCTACTTCTGGTGGTTCACAGTGTGTGAACATGTCGGAACTGCTTATACATTGTTCTGCTTCAGGGGGATCATACTTTGTTAACAAGTTGGAACTGTTGATAATTTTTCCCATTTTATGGAGCTCACACTGTGTGACCATATTGATACGTTTACTTTTCTGAGAAGGATGTTCGCTTTTGTCATTTTTGTCATCAGCGATGGGATTCTGAAACAAGGTAATCATAAAATGTTCAAAAGCTGTGACAGGATCTGCTTGTATATTCTAAATATTTTGTTGCAATACTGTTAATGTTTGTAAATAATCAGTAAAGCATTGGATTTTTATAAATATAAAAATTATTTTAAAAATGATAAATAAACTTTAAATGCAGGGTATTTGTATTTAAATACATTAATTACATTCATAATAGAGTAACAGAGAATACCTTCTCTTCAGCGATGAAGTCTATCTGGATTTCATTGGATTTCTTACAGGTATTACCGGTTTCTGTTTGGGTTTGTTTGTCTTCTTTAAGTTTATGTATTGAACGATGTGGCAGGATTGGTTTCCAAACGTGTATTCTTTTGTCGGAAGCACTTGCACCAGAAGACGAAGATATATATGGATGTACCTATGGTTCCCGAAATGATAATTTCGTTAGATACCATACTTTTAACCTAGAAATAATATACGGTATATAGGATGAAAAAATTAAATAACATAACGTTATCAACTATTCTACCACGATTATCGTAAACATGAAAGGAAACCGCCGGACATTATTCTCCAATAAATCACGAACGTCATCAAAAAATTATCAGATCAGAAACACGTATCAAATCTTAACAATTCAAATGCATGTTTGGCTGTAGAATGAAATACTTGTTTAGATTGCATCGATGTGTCGTCTTTTGCAGTATAAACACTGCATAAAGTTGCTGATGAATGTCGGTTTTTATAGCTAAGCGGGGCTATTCCACGGACCTCCCTACACATTAAACAACGTGATTTTAGCAGTAAAACAGGAACATGATTTTGTTATTGTATATTCTTTTTAACTGATCAATACATATTACGAACATATTTGTAATTTAAAAAGGCTATTTTTAATGTAACGAAAGCTCAAATCGTCTACATTCTATGTACAGGTAAGCAAACAAATTTTACCTCTGGTGTTAAATGAAACAGCGTAATCGAGACATGGTGACCTAATTCGTTTCTCTATAGAGGAAACGATTATCCCTAATTTAGCGTTTGTACCATACTTGGTAGAATAGAAATAAAGTCCTTGTTGTCGTGAATGATGCAGAATAACCTCCTCGGTCTTGAAATGTTGTTTGAAATATAAAAGCCTCGGCTAGCGCCTCGGCTTTTATCTTTCAAACAACATTTCTCGACCTCGGAGGTTATTCTGCAACATTCACGAAAACGCGGACTTTATTTCTTAAATAACTTTCATATAAAGCATGTTATATTGCAGTAATTTACCTTTATATAATTTTTCCTTACTTATAACATCTGCAATGAGCAAGCATTATGGTTTCCAGTTCCATTCGCCATAAGTTCCACACAGATCTTTCCAAAGGTATGAATATATAATGCCCGCGGTATCTCAATCTCTGTCTCTTACCCCAATATTTGATGTTGTTCTTATATGGCAATATATGCATTAGAATTAAAAAAAATGTTATGCTAATGTTTCTTGGAAATATCTCAATAACCTTGAGCAGCACAATGTAATTTATTTAAAGATCTGCAAAGAACGACCGATTTATCGTCATGGTGCCAAAAAAAAATTAAATTGAGGCATGTACAATGTTTAAACGTTATTCTGAAGCACTGATGTATAACTTGATAGCACCGAACGAGGTAATCTGAATAATGAACACTGTGATATTTAAAGCTCTATACTATAATTTAGTGTCATCTTGTTAATTGTATTGTTCATTACATAACTGGAAAAGCGATCTTTGATGACAAGAACATTTCAAGCCGATTTAAAAATAAATAAATAAATATGCGCAGATGGGAGAGTACAGAAATTCTTTTTTTTTTATACAGAAACAACTCATGACATAATAAGACAGTAGAATGTCAAGTGACACAAAATGAATGTCGGTCAGAGAATTTCGTCTTTTTGCCGGAAAAAAGCCGTGTGTGGTCATTTGACTTCTCAGAAGAATAAGTACTGATTACATGATATGACATACGCATTGAAATTAATGTACGTTTCTTTTTAAAAAACAAGAAGATGTGCAAAGGTATTCATCATAATCATTTATATAGTCTTTACGAAGATACATTGCTGGGTGAAACAGTTGCTCTACAAATAACTATCTTTACTCATCAAAAATTATTAACAGGGAACTTTACACGTAGTGTACTCCGAAATATTCATTAAGTGAGATTAATCAAATGTAAGTTCTCATAAGCTCCAAGAACTTTTAAAATCAGAAAAGTTGAAATCATATTTTTTTTCAAAAGTCAGTAACATCAAAATTTATAATTCTTTTTATAATATATACTAGTACATCCATTTTCGCGATAGAAATACTTTTTTATACCACAAACAAAATGGAATTAAGAAGTTTTCAGCTTTTATTGATCATTCACATACTTATTTTAACAAATGAATGTAATATGGAGATCCAGTATTCAAGCTTAAAAAACCCATTCAAACAATACAAATCAGGAGCAGAGCAAACACGGACTTACAAAACATCAGAGATGGGATCAGGTGCCATGGAGGAGAAAAATTTGAATTCCCATTGGTTCCAATTGCGCCCTGTTATTAGTAGACCTATTTTTGTATTCACATGAAGCAGAATTTGTCCAAACTCTTATACGTGAAAAAAATGCTGTGGCCTTCAACTCGAAATTAGATATATCGACGACGTATTGTCAATTAACAATGGTAATTTTTATTCTTACGTCGATACGATATATCCCAGTAAGCTTGATATAATGGATACCAAAAAGTCTTACACATCTGCTTCATATTTGGATATTTAACTTAAAAAAAAGATGTTTACGGTAATCTATTAACCAACTTCCCTTGCTCATGCAGAAATATATCTTTATCACCTGCATACGAGTTTATATATCTAATTTGATTCGATACGCAAGAGCATGCTCTGCGTATATACAATTTCTAAAAAGAGGTAAATTATTGACAAACAAGTTGATGAAACAAGACTATCAGCAGTCACGTTCAAAGTCATCATTTCGTAAGTTCTATGGTCGATACAATGGCATTAATAGGAAATACAATTTATCATTGAGTCAAATGCTGACTGACTTTTTTCATACTAATTGTTAGGCCGTTATCTACACACTGAATTGTAAACGGATTTTCTTGTGATTTTCCTATCAAGACAAGCATACGGCGGGTGTGACTGGTCAGCAGGGGATGCTCACTCCTCCATGGCACCTGATCCCACTTCCGATGTTTTGGAGGTCCGTGTTTGCTCTACTCCTATTTTGTATTGTTTTGTGGATTTAAAATGTTTCAAAACTATTCGTTATATCCATATGTTTCATGAACTTTAAATACACATCAAACAATTAATTCTAATATAAATAATCATTAAAGTTCAGCAGACATGGCAAGACATATAATCACTCTTAAAAGAATCAATAAAATGTCATAGAAAAATATGTTGCATAAAAATCTTATCAATTATGATTTCTTTTTATTCTTCTTCTTGAGTCCGCAGGAAAAACAGCATCTGAAAGAATTAAAACAACTCTAATTAAAGTAAAAGTAATTTGTTCAAACAAAAGCAAGTAAAAGACAAAGATTATTGATACAATTATTTTTAAAATTTTTATAAAGGAGTAAACATAAATAATAAATGGACATTGTTACTGTGAAAAGTGATAATTTAAGAGATTGGTCGAGTTCATCTATTCTAAATAGAAATCTTTCTGTACATTAACTCAATTGATTGGCAACATTACTTTTATAGATCATTGATTACCAAATTTATTCCAAGTAATATAAGTACTTTTATGTCACTCTAGTACACCCCTGTCTCTTAACTCAGCTGTATTGACCTTGACCTACTTACTTTGTTAAACTGTTGTCCTCCTCCTGTCTTTATTTACTGAACAGAAATGACATTAAACTATTTTATTTCATTGTCCTTCTGTCAATTTTTACTCAGCTGTATTGACCTTGACCTACTTACTTTGTTTCTCTGTTGTCCTCCTGTTTATCCTTACTGAGCTGTATTGATTTTCACCTAATAATATTGTTTTCCGTGCCTAATATGGCATGTCAAACGTTGCAATATTCGATAATCTTGTGATGTATATTCAAAATCTTGTGATGTATGTTCGAAATCTTGTGATGTATATTCAAAATCTTGTGATGTATATTCAAAATCTTGTGATGTATGTTCGAAATCTTGTGATGTATATTCAAAATCTTGTGATGTATATTCAAAATCTTGTGATGTATGTTCGAAATCTTGTGATGTATATTCAAAATCTTGTGATGTATGTTCAAAATCTTGTGATGTATATTCAATATCTTGTGATGTATATTCTTAAACTTGTGATGTATATTCTATAATCTTGTGATGTATGTTCGAAATCTTGTGATGTATATTCGAAATCTTGTGATGTATGTTTGATAATCTTGTGATGTATATTCGAAATCTTGTGATGTATGTTCGATATCTTGTGATGTATATTCGAAATCTTGTGATGTATATTCTATAATCTTGTGATGTATGTTCGAAATCTTGTGATGTATATTCGAAATCTTGTGATGTATATTCTATAATCTTGTGATGTATATTCAATATCTTGTGATGTATGTTCAAAATCTTGTGATGTATATTCAATATCTTGTGATGTATATTCGAAATCTTGTGATGTATATTCTATAATCTTGTGATGTATGTTCGAAATCTTGTGATGTATATTCGAAATCTTGTGATGTATGTTTGATAATCTTGTGATGTATATTCGAAATCTTGTGATGCATGTTCGATAATCTTGTGATGTATATTCGAAATCTTGTGATGTGTGTTCTACAATTCAGTGATGCGTGCAATAAAATTGCATGACGCAACAGAAAAGTAAGGACAATTTTCATTGGTTAGAAATAACGAAAGTAGCTGAAGCGTCGGGAAAACCATGCAGGTGAGAAAAAACACATAAGTTTGTTTATTGCAGCACTAATTACGAGATGCACGAGTGTTGTTCCTGGTGACATGATGGAGATATTTCGGCCTGCTAGAGAAAAAACTCAGTAAACGTAGATGTATTGACAAAATTTGTAGGTACTTGTAACGACATGTCACGATGCTGCATTGTCAGATACAGTATTTATACATGCATGCTAAAAAGTTAAATCTCGTAGTAATCAATATAGCAGAAGAATAATGAAGAGTACATACTACAAAAACTGTGCAATTTGTAGCAAGATTAATTTTTGTTTAACAGCTGTTTTTATGACATTTTATTTCGTATTATTACTACCAAATACTGTTACCGTTTGTTAATGTTTAATCCGAGATTCCTCTGACTCTAACCCCCGCTTTTATATTGTGACTTGTGCGCACAAGTCACAATATAAAAGCGGGGGTTAGAGTCAGAGGAATCTCGGATTAGTTAATGTTATGCACATGGTTATCTTGTACTTGCAAGTAAATGTAAC